CAATGATTTCACTGTTTGAGGCAGGAGGAGGATTGCAGTTTATTAGTTCTCTTAAAGTAGTGATAACTGGTGTTATGACTATTTTCAATGTTTTAGTATTTAAGATTTTTTTAGCCAGTATACTTAATCTTTATAACTTTTTGTGTAGATAATTAGGAAAGACTAGCTCTTCTTGGGCTATTGTACTAGAACTTCCTTCCAGTACTTGAAGGGAGCTTATGAGCAGAAGAAGAATTTTTATATGATCTGATAGTGATAGGACAAGGGGGGATGCTGCAAATGTCTAGCCTTTGTGGAGCTATACATACAGAAGCATATAGAATCAGTTATTAACAACTGAGTGAAAGTAAGAGCTGTATTCAAAACTCAAATAGAACATTGCCTAAATGGAATAAAGCTCCAAATGGTAAACTTAATTCCCTTATTTTATTAGTTATTTTACTTCTACATTAGTTGTGCCAATTCATAAGCTTTTTTAAAGTCTATATGATGTATAACCACTTCTAAGTCTCTAGCTTAATCAGAAACCTATTACAAAGTCATAAAAAGAAGTGCAAGCTTCCTTCAACACTGAATATGGGCAAGTTGGAATTCTTGCACAGGTAACAACCATCTTCATTTCTGTTACAGTAACAGCAGCAATCCTTTGTGTGCATATGCGGACACATTTATGTGAATGTGTATTTATGACTCATGTTCTTTTCTTTGAGGATTCTGAACATTCTATTAGCAGTTTGATTCAAATTCAATACACAGATGCCATTTTAGATATTAGGTTTTTTACAGTGCTTGTTTCTAATTTTCTTCTGGATCCATATTATCCAGCTCATGTACTCTGTGTACACAGACATGGACCCTCTTTCTTTTTTTGCTGCTTATTTAGTGCTAAGTTAGCTTTCTCCCTTCTCAGCCTCACTGGTACCAATGAAAAAGGCAGCATTATTTTTCTGCAGCCTGTGGATTTCAATTCCTGTTTTCTGTCATAATTTTTCCTAACTGAAGGAAAATGAACTAGATAAATTTAACAGGCAGTATAATCAAAAGCGTGTAATATGATTTTATTAAACCTTATTAACTGATGCACATAGGAATATCTACGCGCAATTTATTTGTCTCACATCCCGAGTTTTAGTTTCAAAGAGGGAAGAACTTCTGTTAGTACAAACAAGAAGTTACACAACAGTCTCTTTGATAGACTGACTTGATCATACCCATTTTAAGGAATGAAATCAGTACATGTATGTTTGCAGAGCAGTTGGGACAATGAAGACACAGTCTTGACTGGGGCCTTTGAACCCCATTGTGACAAAAATATTCATTGAAAATAATAAACAAAGAATTGCTATGAAGGAGAGGGACGGTACAATGCGTGTTTATGCAGTTGTAACTGTCAGCTAAAACCAATGCAAAGTTTGTAGATAACTTTACAGTGACATCTCTTTGCAGCCTTTCTCCTCCAGGACCTTGAAATTTCAATCTTGGTAAAAGGTTTGTATTCTTATTTTCCTTTTTGTTGTTGTTGTTCTTTTTTCATTTTCATCTGTGGTTGCTCTTTCGTATGTGTGTATGTGTGTGTGCGTGTGTGTGCATTGCCTTTTTGCCTTTATCCACAATTTTTAGTTCTCAAAGTCTTTATAAAATTTTCTTTCTGATTGATGTATTAGTAAGGTTTTCTTGGCAACAAATGTCCTTTGGCAGCAAAGTCTTGGCTTGGACTTTCATGCTTCAGTAACCTAGACACTTAGAAACCACAGATTTTGTAGCCGAATTTTGATCTAATACATGCCAATGCACAACTTTGATTCAGGATTCTGTACAATCCTCTAATTCCCAGCTGTAAGCAATTTCCCCTTGCAAAATCTTTGTACTAAAAATGTGTTCCATGTACATTTATTATATACAATGAAAAGAATGCAAGAAATTACAAGCTTATTTTAGCAGGCATTGCTAAAGAACCTCTGATTTCCATTGTTAACTTTTCAAAACTCAGTATCAGAATTATAGAAGTCATGCCTCTTCTGTCACTGTTAGCTAACTATTAAATTAAAACTTCAGAACTCAGCTAGACATAGGTACCGTAAGTCTATTATATAAAGTTATATGAGTAACATATCCCAAAAGAGAGAATGAGTTTGAGATGCAACACCTAATTTTAACCAGATAGAATGACAGATAGGATTCCCCCCATAATTACTTGTAGGTCTTTCCATCTGGTGACTGCACATTCAGCGATTGGACAAGACATAATGGGTCCATTCTGGAAAGGGTATACCTGACACAGGTACTTTAGTTTAATTCTTTGACATTCACAAGGACCTAATGCCCCTGAATCAAAAAGCAGAAGCTCATCTGAAGTCCTAGTGCAAATCTGACTCATAGACCATCTGAAAATCAGTTGCAAGTATGAGCCTGGAAAAGCTTGAAATTATCCAGTTAGTCTAAAAAAGTGTTAGGAAAAGTTTGAACTTCTGTGAATTTAGAAATCTGTTATGTAGAATGATTTATGTTTGCAAAGAACTGAAGAGAGCAACAACAGATAATATTTCTTCAGTTTTTCAGATTTCCGGAAAGCTAAAACATTATTTGGAGGTCTCTAAAGCAAAATGCAAATCAGGTCCTAAAGAGTTACTGCACACCATTTGGATCAAATGAAGGCCTGCTATTCGTATGTGCCTCTGTGGTATTGCTCATCATTAAAGCTATGCATAATAAAATCTAAGCCATGACCTTCAATAAATACTGAGTTCTACACACAGGGCTGCACACAGAGACATGTAGTTTGCATCTTCATGGTAAGTTGTAACAGTGATTGAGAAGTCATAAAATCATAAAATGGCTTGGGTTGGAAGAGAACTCAAGGATCATCGAGTTCCAACCCACTGCTGCAGGCAGGGTTGCCAGCTACAATATCAAGTACTAGACCAGCCTGCCAAGGGCCTCATCCAACCTGGCCTTGAACACCTCCAGGGACGAGGCATGCACAACCTCTCTGGGCAGTCTGTGCTAACAGTTCACCACCCTGTCAGTGAAAATCAAATGTGTTGTTTATAAAACATGAGTGATGACAATAATGTTTAGAGTATCTGAATGATAACTGACTTAAAAGTCTATAAAAGCTTTCTGATTTCTGTAACACTGACCACCCTGAGCTCTCCGTTGGGCTTTGGGAACTATGAATGCTTAGGCTTCTTTGGGGTGGTACATGGGAAAATGAATGTAAGCAAAGGATTTTGGCAAAAGATCTGGGAAAAAAACAGCTCTCACAGGGAGGTCCATCCATTCATCCTTAAAGTAACATTCCTTCCAGCTGCTATGACTGATGACCTTCACTTGGAGAATTTTAAGAAGACTGGATAAAGAGCTCAACATTGGGAGAAAATCATACTTTGGAAAAGTTTACAAGACAAAATAAATATTTTGATGTCTTGTTTCTATTCCATGTTTCCCTAAATATAGCAAACTGAGATAGGATCTGTTTTATCTTGTTTGTTATAATATTGATCATTCTGAATTTCCTTTCAGCTGTAAGAGAGCCACAGGAGACTTGCTTTATATGTCCCTCAGAAACTTGAAGAGGGGCCATACAGACAATAGTATCATAGCATGTCACAGGGAGACCAGAAGACAGTTGCACTTAGCATTCAGGACATTACTGAGAAATCTACAGGACTGATAGGTTCTCAGGAATAAAAGGCATAGAAACTGAGAGTTATTGCTCTCTAAAATGAAGCACAAGTATCTAGTGATTTAAAGTTGAAGGTGAATTTTTCATGGAAGAAAGCACAGATGAATGAGTATTTAAAGACCTTTGAATCTGCATGGCACAGGGAAGTGGATCAATGACAAAATCATTCCTCTAAGCCAAAGTTCTTCACAGTCCTTCTTAGATTAGAAAATGTATTTCCTCTAAACTGTGAGGTTCTGATCCTGAACATGCATCTGATATGTATCATTCCAGTTCGCTAGTTTTAAAATATATTTATCTGTAAATTCTGTCTCTTTTTCTTTGATTTTAATGCTGCTACCTTGATCTCACCTTGATGAAATACTAGCTACTGTCTTTCTCAATGCAATCATGAATCACTAAGAGGAGCACATTTTCATGAATTATGTACTGTTTTGTAAGAAACTACTAAAATATTATATGTAATTAAAAAAGTCAAAAGCAGAACAAAAACAAAGCAACCACACAAAATTACCCTTATTATCTAACCAGTATTTTTCGCTTATCTTCTATGATGAACATCTTCTATCCACTCAGTGCTGTATCACACAGTGCTTATATCACCTTCATGGAATTTTTGCCCATGGCTATGAAGCAGAGTGAGATTAGCACTAATGTAGCTTTTAAGTAACATAGAGAAATACAAGAATCTAGAAGAGAGCATTAAACTCAACAAATTGAGTCATGTCTTCTGCAGGCCACAGTATCTCAGAATCTGACAGAATTTCAGTAGTTTTTCTTCAGTAATATTCCTTCCATTCTTGTTTTTCAGTTCAAGTTCCTTTCCTTTTCCTTTCTCACTTCCTTTTGTTCACTTTTCTAACAGAAATAGTAATCACTGCCTTTTATAGCCTAAAATACTTGTGTTTAACATATTTGTTATTATGAGAAATAACCTCAGGTAACAGCATTTCACAACCTCGTCTCATGGGGAATCCTGCACGTCCTGTAACAGCTGTTTCAGTATCTCATATAGACAAATAAATCACTGGGGCAATCTCTATCACAATTTGCAACAAAGTGAGGAGACCTGGGGGAATCTCCTGCCTAATCACACATACGCAAATGAATTGGGAAAAAAATTGGCCATATTTTTAGACTGGAGAAAATGTGAACTGACAACAGTGTGTTAGCACAGAGAATTGATTGTTGATCAACAAAAGACAATAACATGAGCAGATTTGTCTGCCATATGTTTTCATGGCCAACAAAAGCCATCTGTAGCTGCTGCAGTTACGTACTTTAAAAGAACAGAAAAATGAAAAGTTCTCATTACCTCTAATTGGTCAGATTGCTCAGTTTCAGCATAGGCAAATGGGTGAGGCAGTTCTCCAAGTGAAACATCATAGAACTCAGAATCATAAGTTAAAGGATCAGTGATAGGTACAGCTCCAACATACTCAAAGATAAAAAATCCCAGAAAAATATTTACAAACGTCTTCATTCTGCTTTTTTTTTTTTTTTTTTTTTTTTTCTGAAAGAGAAGAAAATGAACAAAATGTGACTAATATGATAATTGCAAGTAATCCATGAAAATTTAGTCTCAGAAATACAGTGCTTCTTTTCATGCAGCAATGATTTGATGGTCATATTTATTCACGAAGTCTCAAAGGTTTATTTTGGATCAGAGAATTTCTGCAGATGGTTTTGGTCATACTAACATTTAGCTAATAAAGGAAGGACGGACTGATTTTTGTTGTATCAGAATGGTATAAAAATAAACTGACCTCAGTGAGAAGACATCTAAAGGGTAAAGAAAGTTTGTATAATAATCTTTATTCCTTTTCATCTATATTTTACTATTTCAAATGTATCACTAGAAAGAGCTTTTGAGAAATTAGCCAAGGCTAAGTTACTATTTTTTAATCAATCACAATAAATCATACTTTGAAATGTCCAGCTTAATTTTGTCTTTCTCCTCTACCAAAATCTACTCAGAAACATTAGGACCCCTTTCCTTCCTGTCTTTGGATGAGCATAATCAATGCATTTTTTCACCCAACAGCTGTTCTGACATAGTGTCATTTTAAGTTTTCAAAGGATGTGGCATATTTGGAATGTCTCTTCTGCAAAGGGTCTGGGGAGTAAAATCAGAAATAGTCTATGTTCTTCCCAGCGCTATTATTGACAGTAGCCTTACTTCTTTCATTATCCAATCAGCAGAATTTTTAAAGTAGTTAGAAATTACATTGGAGTGCTGTCATCTGTTCTCCTTGGAGGATAGAACTTCAAAATCAATTACCGCCTTTTTAAAAGTTCTGTATTTTACTAACATGGTGCAATATTCACACTCGCCTTAAATATCAGTATTTATACATTCCCTATCCTTTGTAAGTTATGTCTAACGTGCAGGGTCTATTCAATATTTTTTGCTTACATCTTAATTTATTCACTGCTTCCACTAATTTCACCAAAAGGGCAGACTTTGATAATAAGCAGTGCATATCTAATAAACTTCTGTATTTCTGTTGTAATCCCATAATACACACAGGCAAGTATTTCATTTAAAATTATAGCAATTTAAAGTAGATTAAGTATAAGAAACGTGTGAGACAGTTTTTGGAACGCGTGCTAAGCGACAACTTGAATTTTAGTGATGTGAAAAGAGGTCTTTATGAAGCTGGTTTAGGCATGAGGATATGAAATTCCTCTGGGGATGGCCAGCAACACAAGGCATTCATTTTTCCCTCATGTGCTTTATTCAAAAAGACTTTTCAGTTGCTGCTGGGAGAAACTAGCGCAACACTAGCTTGTCTTTGAGCAGACTTAGTTGAATTGCACCTTTCAGTATTAGTTTATAAGATTACTAAAGGTTTCCTGCTTCACTGCAGTAAAATAAAATAAAATACATCCAAGCATACTTGAAACACACTTGAATATTCTTTTTCTTTTTTCCCGTTTTGTATTTTCTGCTATTCTTAAAAGAAATGCTTCTAGTCTTACTTTTTTCTGACGTGTCATTTAACTCAAATGATCAAACTATAAAGGATATTATATACTAACCCCAAAATATAATAATAACATACATTTTTTTGCTCCAAGCAAACAAATGCTGAATATCCATTATTCAGAATCATTCACATTTAATTTTTCCTAAAAATAAAAGATTTTAAATGACATATTTAAATGTACACCATTTTGCATAAGTAGGCAAAAGCAGTAAATACAGTGTTAATCTCCTTGGAAAATACTGCTATTTATGTATACCCACAGTATCTGCTCTAACCTACAGAGTTTGTATGTCTCTGTGCTTCCCTCCTGTGCAATATACTGGAACATCCTGTAATGATATTGGCATCTGCAGTAGCTGTAAGATCAAATATTTTGATGAAGATTATGTACTCCTCTAACAGGAAGGAACTAAGACATATCCAGAGAAAAACATAGTCTCCTCTACCTTCAGCCTTTAAATCAGCAATTTGTGCAATAAAATCAAACAAATGCTATAAAAATATTTCCAACCTTAAAAATCCAACTTACTTTTCTAAGAAATAAGTACCAAAACTTACCTTTTGCTTCCAATCTCTCAAATGGCGTGGAGTTACTCAGAATGCAGAGCCAGTGGTATTAGACCCTGACCAATGACAGTGGCATTCTGGGGCTGTGGGAGGTAGTACAGCTTCTATCCTCAATGGGGGACTTCAGCTCAGAGAGTTTCTCTGACTTTGAACACCTTTATGTTTGATTTTGCAGAATTTAATTTGAGCAAGGTCAAACAAAGGTTTATTGTAAGCAAATGGCATTTATTCCACATCACTGCTTTTTATCCCTTCACCTAAAACTCCTCACTGCTCCTACCAGTGTCTTTATAAATCTGATTAAAAAGTAGAAGTAGTTTTATTTTTGTTCAATTAATCCATTATAGATTTTATAATAACAGGAAGGATGCAGAACAGAAATGCAATGCATGATCAACACTCAGTGATATATAAGATATTTTAATACATTAAAACCTCCGCAATAAAACACAGAGCTGTTGATATTTAATTTCTTGATTGCTTTCTCAGTAGGCAGATGTAAACAATAAGCATAAAATAAAAGCATCAGTAAAAGGAAATCTAAGTAAGCTGTAAGAAAATCAATACAGAACCCACGTGACTTTGAAACAATGCCCAATTTAGCCTGAATTGAGACATAGTAGTTTCATCAAAGCTGGGAAAGATCCTCTAGATTTACCACAAGGTGAATGACCTAAGTCACTTCTTACCTAGCAAGTAAACATATTTTTCTTCCAAATAGTCAACACTCTCAATTGTGTGCTGGAAACAGTTTTTTAGGTGCTCTGATCATCTAAAAATATGTGTTTCCTACCTTCAAAATCAAGACCTCAACAAATTGCATAGTAGAAGGAATACTTTTACCTATAACATATTTTTTGCATGTGATAATATTTAATTTATTTCAATCTACTGTGGGTAATATGTATTTAGAGATTTTTTTTTCTCTAAGTACTTCTGAGACAATACTTAAGGGACCCGTTCTTTCCCATGTTTTTCTTTGGCAACCTACCTAGGTTACCTTCAGTAAAGCCTGTGACTCTGTCCCCCACAGTATTTTCCTTGAAAAGCTGGCAGCTCATGGCTTGGACATGATTGTTACTCTTCACTGCATTAAAAACTGGCTGGATGATGAGCCCTGAGAGCAATGGTGAATGGAGTTGAATCCTGCCGGTGTCCAATCATGAGTGGTGTTCCTCAGTGGCCAGTACTGGGGCCTGTCCTTTTACTGTATTTTTGATGATCTGGACAAGGAGATTGAGTGCACTCTCAGTAACTTTGCAGATGACACCACACTGGGAAATAGTGTTGATCTGCCTGAGTGTGGGAAGGCCCTACAGAGGGATTTGGATTGGCTGATCTCTGGGCTGCGGCCAATGGGATGAAATTCAACAAGACCAAGTGTCAAGTTCTCCACTTCAAGCACTGCTGGGTGGACGACCCGATGGGTAAGAAACTGGTTGAAAGGCCGCAGACAGAGGGTGGTGGTCAATGGCTGTATGTCCAGGTGGAGGCCGGTAACAAGTGGTGTCCCCCAAGGGTCTGTCTTGGGACCGGTGCTCTTTAACATCTTTATTAATGACATCGATGAGGGAATTGAGTGCACCCTCAGCAAGTTTGCTGACGACACCAAGCTGAGTGGTGCGGTTGATACGGTGGAAGGAAGGGATGCCATTCAGAGGGACCTCGACAGGCTGGAGGGCTGGGCTCGGGTGAACCTAATGAGGTTCAACACGGCAAAGTGCAAGGTTTTGCATTTGGGCCGGAAGAACCCCAGGCACCCGTACAGGCTGGGAGGAGTGGTCCTTGAGAGCAGCTCGGCAGAGAAGGACCTGGGGGTCCTGATGGACGAGAGGCTGAACATGAGCCAGCAGTGCGCTCTGGCAGCTCGAAAGGCAAATGGGATCCTGGGCTCCATCAGGAGAGGGGTGGTCAGCAGGGACAGGGAGGTGATCGTCCCTCTCTACTCGGCTCTTGTGAGGCCCCATCTGGAGTACTGTGTCCAGGTGTGGAGCCCTCAGTACAAGAAAGACATTGAGATTTTGGAAAGGGTCCAGAGGAGGGCGACTAAGATGATCAGGGGGCTGGAGCACCTCCCCTATGAGGACAGGCTGAGGGAGTTGGGCTTGTTCAGCCTGGAGAAGAGAAGGCTGCGGGGTGACCTCATTGCAGCCTATCAATACCTGAAGGGAACCTACACCCACGAGGGGAGTAAACTCTTCAAAAGGGCTGACAACAGCAGGACTAGGGGAAATGGATCGAAGTTGAAGGAGGGAAGATTTAGGTTGGATGTTAGGGGGAAGTTCTATACAAGGAGAGTGGTTAGGCCCTGGAACGGGCTGCCCAGGGAGGTTGTAGATGCCCCGTCCTTGGATGTGTTTAAGGCCAGGTTGGACGGGGTCCTGGGCAACCTGATCTGAATGTGTGTGTTTGGTGGCCCTGCTAGGCAGGGGGGTTGGAACTACATGATCCTTGAGGTCCCTTCCAACCCGGGTGATTCGGTGATTCTGTGATCTGTGATTGACCACAGCAATCCCATGCACTGCTACAGACTTGGGGCAGGGTGGCTTGCAAGTGGCATAGAGCAAAAGGATCAGGGGGTGCCGGTCAACAGCTGACTAAACATGAACCAGAAGTGTGCCTAGGTAGCCAAGAAGGCCAATGGGATACTGGTTTGTATCAGGAATATTGTAGCCAGCAGGACAAGGGAGGTGATCATCCCTCTGTACTTGGCACTGGCAAGGCCTCATCTCAAGCCCTGTGTTCAGTTTTCAGCCCCTCACTACAAGAAAGATATTGACACCTTGAACACGTTCAGAGAAGGGTAGCACAGCTTTGAAGGATCAGGAGCACAAATCTTACAGGGAGTGACTCAGGGAACTGGGATTATTTAGTCTGTAGAAAAGGAGGCTCAGGGAAATCTTACTGCTCTCTCCAACAATCTGAAAGGAGATTGTAGCATATGGGGGTCAGC